GACAATTTACCTTTTTCCAGGCTCAGTGGTGAGCAATCCTATGCTGTCTCTTTATTATTTAGTCTTTTCTTTCTCTATAGACTGCCAAGTGTGTTGTCAATTTTTCCATTGAGTGTGGCATTTTGGTGACTGTTCTGTAATCCCTGGCTTTATATTAGTGACATGTTCTTTTTCTGACATGTTTGGCAAGTATTTTTCCAGTTTGACCTCTTTTTTTAATTTAACTTCTGCCATATTTTTCATTGGTGAATTTTAGTTTTATTTTTACATATTCATACGCATGAGTCTTTTCCCTTATAGTTTCTGGGTCTTGTTTTGTTTTGCTTAGCAAGGCCTTACCCACTCTCTTGAGAGACAAACAAGAAGATTGAAGTAAAGTGAGAGATGTACTTTTGTCTGGAAGAGGAACTCTTAGAATATGTCATGTAGTGATAAATACTTTAATGCAATCACAAAACATTCCAAACATGCTCCTTTTTAGAAACTTGGTGATTTTTTTATAAATCAGAAAAATAAATAGCGGGGTAAGGTAGCAAGATCGGCTCAGTCAGATGTTAAAGGCTAGAATGATTAAAATCCAGCAATTCCAGTGCAGAAATAATCAGAGAAATAGAACAGGACAGAATCCAGAAACACAACCAAGGATAAATGGAAGTGTTGGATTTTATAAATGTAACATTATTTCAGCACCATAAGTAAACAATGCCAAAAAAAAAAAAAAAAAAAAAAAGCTCAATTGGAGGTCAGAGTAAGGAAAAGGAATGTAGTCTCCTACCTAAGTCCTCATACCAAATTTATTGGCAGTTGTGGCAAATATTTAAACATAGTTAATGAAGTCACAAAAGTACCTGAAGATAATGTATTTTTATAATATTGGGATAAATAAAGCCTTTCTACACATACCCAGAATTAATTAATCATCAAAGAAGTGATGAACAAATTTGACTATGTGAGATATGCATAGTTCTGCAAAACCACATAATCAAAATCAAACAACAATGTAAAAGCTGGGAGAATATACTAACAAGACACATGACAATGAATAAGCATTCACAATGAACAAAGAATTTTTTTCAAGTAGTTAAGAAAGTAAGGAGATAAAGATAATGATTGAATTAGTGTAAACTATAAGAAAGTATAAGCAAACTTACATAAAACCAAACCTTCAGAATCAGCAAAGCTGTGAAAAAGAAAATGACCACAGCCACAAAATGGGAACACCACTTGGCAAAAGGTTGAACTCCATGTCATTGCCAATATTTCATCCTTTTTGACTTACAAAGTATCAATTTTTCAATCAAAATTGGAAGCGCACATAGTCTTCAAGTCAAGCATACTACTTTTAGATATTTTTAATATATTTTAACATGTACAGTGGATACTTATACAAGTTTTATTATCCATTGGATTGCTTAGAAATTTTTTGTGAAGTCCAAAAATACCAGTGTCATGCAGGGTATAGCAGGGTACACACTGCTTGTGGGCGCAGCAAGTGGTACAATCAATAAGAGAATCACGTGGCAACAGCCAGCAAAGTTGAAGATGTATGTCTCGTATGATGCAGCAATTGCCCTCCTAGGCAAGTGTGTGTGCATGTGGGTGTGATACATACATTCCATTCCTATGATGGCAAGTACTGTTTCACAAGATATATGCATCTTCAATTAGTCCATGTTACATGATGTGTACCTGTGAAACACACATGTATATATGTACACATATGAATGTACATGTGTATGCAGCATATACATGTGCATCTGCACATGCTTATACTGTGTATATACAAATGTGCATATGCATAATAACATATAATATATATGGGCATATGCAAACATGCATGTGTGTCTGTATCCTAGAGAAATTCCCACACACATATATCTACAGTAACACGTACAAAGACATTGATTTGTACCTTGTTTATAACAAGAAAAAAATGTACACAACATGGCTGTCAGTCAGGAAATGCATGTATAAGTTGTAGTTTATTCATACAATGGAGTATCATGCAACAGAATACACAAATTATATCTATATATATCTACATGGATAAATATCAAAAACACAAGGCCAAATGTAAAAAATCAAGTGCAAAATATATGTGAAATATGATTCCATTTGTATATGGATATATCCAAATGTAGTAAAAATTATACAATAATACTGTTAATGAATTATACCAGGTTCAGGAAAAGCAGTGCTGCTGAGGCGCAGGCAGGAATGAAGGGGTAAGGCCTTTTGAGCTTGACATTATCGTTCTTAAAAATTCTGAAGCAAATTGGCAAAGTATTAACATGCTAAAAGTTAATATTTCAATGAAAAATATATTTCATGTCCTATTCCTGTCTTCTTAAAGGCATGCATATATATCTTTATGTGAGAACATAAAACATACTGTTTATTTCTCTTTGCAGTCCTTTTTTTCTCCTATTTCCTTCTCTCCCTTTTGTTTCATCCTTCCTCCCTGCACCCACATCACCCTCTAATTCCCGCCACACACTCCAGCCATCCATGCCAACATCCAATTGTGCTGCTTTCTATATTGCCCCTTGCTCTCACAATCATATACAAATGTCCATTCATCTTTGCATATATGTATATACATATATACAATATGTAATACTTATGAGCGGATAGTAGGTATGTTGTATGTGCTTTCTTCATTTTACTTTTCCCACTCAACAATATCAGACGGAAATCTTGCTACTCACTCTCTCTCTCTCTCCTCTTTTTATCCACTGCATTATAATTTATGCTATGGATGAACAGAACCTATTTAACAGTTCCCTTACTGAAAAGTATTCAGTTTGTTTAGTTTCTCTGAACAATGCTGTGATAAGCACTTTTGTCCAAAGATCCTTATCCATGGTGCCTCATTTTATGGGCCCTAGAGGATACCTACATGTGATGGTTAATACTGAGTGTCAACTTGATTGGATTGAAGGATACAAAGTATTGATCCCGGGTGTGTCTGTGAGGGTATTGCCAAAGGTGATTAACATTTGAGTCAGTGGGCTGGGAAAGGCAGACCCACCCGTAATGTGGGTGGGCACAACCTAATCAGCTGCCAGCGAGGCTAGAATATAAGCAAGCAGAAAAAAATGAGTAAACAAGAGACTGGCCTAGCCTCCCAGCCTACATCTTTCTCCCGTGCTGGATGCTTCCTGCCCTCAAACATCAGACTCCAATTCCTTCAGTGTTGGAACTCGGACTGGCTCTCCTTACTCCTCAGCCTGCAGACGGCCTATTGTGGCACCTTGTGATCATATGAGTTAATACTTAATAAACTCCCCCGGTTGTATTTCTTTAAAAGTATGAGTATTTGTTGTTTGAAAATATCTTATTTAGGTACCTTACTTAGGCAAGTGTTCTTCCAAAAGAATTTTCTCTATATCCTGCAAGCTACTTTTTTTAAAATGTTAAGGAGAGGAAATGCAGAGTGCTTTCTTTTTGTTTTTGTTTTGCTTTTCTCTTCTGCTGACTTTTCTTTAACCATTCATTTAATGCCTCTTATCTGCCACTAGACACTTTAAATGAATTATCCTCAGCTTTCCTCACTGTTTATTTGAAGCGTTTGGAATTCCACTTTAATGTTTCTGTTGGCTTTTTAGCAATACCTCATTGCATTACATTTGAAGTGATTGTTCTAGAAATTACAATACATTTCCTTAACTTTTACAGCCTACTTAGAGCTAGTATTGTACCACCCAACTTAAAATATAGAAATCTTATAGATTTCTTTTAGAGGTTTGGAATAACATTTGAATGCTACTCTTAGCTCAGAAACTTGAGTGCCTGAAGTTTATGGTTTGTATTTTTATTCCATTTTCCAGTAGTCTGATGAAGATAGGAAAAGAAATTCCTTGTCTTCAACATACCTCCTAAATTCCAAAAGGAAACAAACCATTGCCTTTTGTCTCTTGTGCTTCCTCCCCGTTTGTGAGCACATACATGCAAGCATGTTCATACACACACACACACACACACACACACTAGCATACACTTGTACAAATGTAGGCTCTCATGCGGCATATTTATGTTTTTAAAAACTGTTGATCATTTGGAAATCAATAAGATTTTAACTCCTTCACCAGTTCATTACTGTGGAGGAGTGGAACACACACTGTGCTATAGCACGCTTTGGGCACACTTCTTGCCCTCCCCATGTTCATGCCCTACGTACCTTTGCAATACTCTCCCCTGGGGCAGGGCATAATTATAGTCCTCTGATCATCCAACACAATGTGAAGATAATACAAATTAATTGCAAAAACAAAATTGCACATTTGGAAAAGATGCAGGATTTCATGAGTTCCCAAGAAATGTCAGGGCCTGTCTGATCACATCACACTTTCCACCTGTGACTGACTCAGACCAGTCACCAAAGAGTTAAGAAAGGCTCCTGACAACATTGTTGAAAGCTTCTCATGTTTTTGCAAAAATAACAGGCTTTTTAATTTTTTGGGAAGGGATGTTCTTGTACCACTAGCCTTGAGCTGTGCCCATGATAATCTATAAGAAAATAATTTATGGATCACAGCAGATCAACACAGATTTTTTTAAATGATCAATTTTATCACAGCTCAGTGGCAAGTTTATAGAACAAAAAAAAAGAGTGTCACTTGATAATGAGAAGAAACCTTAAAAGAACAAATTTTAAAGGGCAGACAACCCCTCCCCCACCACATAGACACACACACACACAGACACACAGACACACATATACACACAATCCTTAAATTCAAAGGCAGTCACTTGCCTGTTTCCTCAGGGAAAATCTAACTTAATCCCTTCAATGATCCCAGGTCTTCAAAAACAAAACCCTGGATTAACACCCTGAATTTAAAATCCAGGTGTCTTGAATGTCTTTGAAAGTACAATCTCAAAAAGCAAAGAAAAAATCTTCAGGTAGGAGGGGGAAAAATACCTACAACAGAGAGAAGAAAACACATAATATCCCAGTAAAATATCTTGGCACCTGTATGCTTGGCTGTACATGCACTATGTCGTACATGCACACATGTCCATGGGTACCCCTGGCCCCTACTTACACGGGGAAGGTAACCTGATGACGTATCCACACATCTGGCTGCTTCTACCCCGCCTAACTGACAAATACTCCCAAATATTCTGCTATTGGTTGATTTGACAGCCACTCTGGAATAGTTGGTTGGCAAGAGGTTTTAAAGCAACAGAAAACCCAAGGTAAAGGGTTGTGCCAGCATTGGCTGCTAGCTAATTTAAGGTCCAATGGAAAATGAAAATAAACAAGTATTAATCCTGAGAACCTTTTTGTGGAGTTATGAAAACAGTCTGTTATAAAACGCATCCAGATGTCAGCCAAGAGTGAGTCAATTGGAATAATAGCTTCAAGTGAAACCAGCAAAGGGCAGCAGGTCAGGCTGCGGGGATTCTAAGAAATGCCCACTCACAGACCCAGGGAGCGCGCTGCCGCACACCAGCCTGGAGCCTCGTCCACGACACAGAATTGTTTTAAACGATCTATAAAAAGAATTTATGGATCCCATGGATCAACATCAATTTTTTAAATTAATTTTGTCACAGCTTAAGGGCAGGTTTATGGAAGACCAAGACCAAAAAAAAGTGTCATTTGATAATGAGAAGAAACTTTATAAGAGCAACATTTTATTTGACAATTATTAAATTTTTATACCAGTGAAAACTGTTTAATTTTATAAAGACCTGTAAAACAATCTCCTGTTGATACACTAGCCCAGTTCTTCAAAAACACATGCCTAAGGATATTTACTGGAACATTTAATATTAAGACCTCTGAAGTAATCTACAAGTCAATCTGTGGAATATTGGTTAAACAAATGATGGTACACTTCTACAGTAGAACCAAATGCAAGTGTTTCTTAATTAATTAATTTTTTTATTTATAATTGACAAAATGCAAATGTTGAAAAGGGTGATAGACCTCCTTGACAACTGCTGTGAAATCATGTCTAGCATAAATTACGTATGAAAAAGCAAGTAACAGAGCATTAAGCATCATTATTCAGCCATCTTTGCATAAATCAGTCTATCAATCTATGTTTCTCTGATTGTTTATGCAGGGAAAGTTCTAGAAAGAAGCCAATGTTCATGGTGGTCACCTCTGAGGAGTGTAGGAGCTGAGGGCAGAGGAGCTTTTCCTTTTTGTGTTGTAGTTTTCTAAAATGCTTTAGTTTTTCACATTAGTATGTATTGTTTTTGTAAAGTTTTTTAATTAATTGGTTTAAAATAGAAGGGGAGGGAAAGGCAAAAGAATGAGCAGCCTGTTGGAATGCAAAGCTAACTAATGGGGCATTGGCAATCTGGTTCTTCAAAAGAAATGGGACTCCTATGAAAATACAGAAAACCTCTGAAAATGCAGAAAGTCCAACGGTCACCACAAGGGAATCAGTTTTACCTACCGTGTTTTCTCAAATGAGTGAGCAATTGCCTAAAAATACTACACGGTGTGGTTGCATGTGTTCAGTCACCACTCAGGGTCCTGATAGCATCTCAATTGCCTGATGCCAACTTCACTTTAACATTTACTTTTCATTTAAAAACAAATTGCTGATCTTCTCTGTCCGTGGAAAACCTTAGAAGTATTTCAGTCCCTGCCACCTATCTGGAGGCCTCATCGGCTGCCACTGGAAACCTGTGGCTGTCAAGGACCATGAGAGTTCCAGGTGGAATGTGGGGATAGAAACTCCTAGGGCCATCTCAGGACTCAGCTCACAAGAAAGCCCAACAGAACAAGTGGTCCCTCTCAGGAAGCAGGCACACTGACTACATGGCGGGATGCCTGGCACATCTGCAGGACAGGCCAGCCTGCTAGGTTAGGCCAAATCCCCGACTCTGCATAGTCATGGGTGGGAGGTCCTTGTGACTTGGGTTGGAGTAAGGAAGTTTTTACAAAGAACGTAGGAATACCACGATGCAGAGTCCAGTGCCCAAAGAAAGTCGGAACTTCATGAAGCCCCAAAAGTGAATCTAAGCATGCATCAAATTGAGTGGCAGGGGGAAAATGCTAATATAAGACCTGGGTACAGATACTGGGGTTAGGAACCCGAAGGATAAGGTGAGAGCAGGTGGGCTGAGACAAGTACGAGGAGTAAAGGGCTGGAAACAGGCTATTTTTGTGGCCTGCATTCAAGTTCCAGCCAGGGATTGGGTCCACTTAAAGCACCAGGAATGGGAGGTTTGCCCTCCCTTTGCAGGGCATGGCTCTCAATGCCCTGTGTATTCTGGGCTGCTGCTGAAGGGCATGCTGGTTCCCAGTGCTGCGAGCAGTATGGGAACTCACGTCTCCTGGGCCGTGCCCTCCTGCTTGCTTTGCTATGGCCTAGGTGCACTCCTTTGCTTGGCTGTGGATTCATTTATGTACCCAGGGTGCTATGAATGAACACAAACTACTGTGCTCCAACTGTTTCTGTGCATACCTGTTGGGATGATTAATTTTATGTAACAACTTGACTGAGCCACAGGATACCCAGACATTTGGTCAAATAGTATTCTGGGTGTGTCTGTTGGGGAGCTTCTCCATGAGATTCACATCCAAGTTGGTAACGTGAGTAAAGCAGATTGCCCTCTCCAGCGTGGCTGGGCCTCATTCAGTCCATTGAAATCCTGAATAGAACGCAAAGGCTGAATAAGAAACGCCTCTTGTCTGACTGCCTTGAGCTGGGACCTCGGTCGTTTCCTGCCTTCAGACCCGGACTCTGGAACTACACCGAGGGCTCTCCTGCTGGCTCTCCAGCTTGCCAACTGCATGTCTAGGGACTTTTCAACCTCCATATGATGTAAGCCCATTCCTTATATTAAGTCTCTTTATATAAAGCCATGCACGATTGCTAACACCTATAATCCCAGCACTTTGGGTGGCTAAAGAGGGAAGAATGCTTGAGGCCAGGAGTTCAATACCAGCCTGGACAACATAGTAAAATCTCATCTCTACCAAAAAAAACAAAAAAAAAAGGTTTAATTAGCTGGACATGGTCATGCAGGCCTGTACTCCCAGCTACTTGGGAGGCTAAGGGAGGAAGAATTTGAGCTCAGGAGTTCAAAGTTGCAGTGAGCTATGTTTCGTACCACTGCACTCCAGCCTGGGCAACAGAGTGAAACCCTGTTTCAAAATAAAAAACTCTTTATACACACACATACACACACACACACACACACACACACACACAGACACACACACACACACACACGCTTCTGTTTTTCTGGAGAATCCTGGCTAATACATCTGTTTGTACAGTTACCTCCTTAGGATAAATTAATGAGAGATTTCCCAAGAAAAACCTTCTAGATTTTCACACATACTGCCACATTTCCATTCAGAAATGCTGTGTTAATTACCTTCCCAAACAGCCCTGCCTCTCATGTTGCCTCACTCCAGCTGGGCATTGTTCCACACGTTCAGCGCTAATTGACCATCTTGTTTAGGATTTTTTTCTCCCTTTTTGTGTATGTGATCTGTGCTTATGTCGCTTGTCCATTTTTATCTAGTTGGTTTCTTAGGTCAGGTTGTCCAGGAAAGAGATTCTGAAACAGAGATGTGCATGCAGGATGTCTGGGGCTCTCAGAGCAATGCCTGGAGGAAGGGAGGACAGCAGGGCAGAGGCAGGGTGGAGGCAGGGCGGAGGCGGAGGCACAGAGCTGTGCACCTGCTGCAGGCCCTCAGCCCACAGCAGGGGTGCCCTGCAGCTGAGACAGCCTTGCAGAGTCTGGTCACACTCTTAGGGGGGCCTTCAACCCTATGGGAGGCAGCTTTCTTCAGCAGAGGGCAATTCCTGGGAAAGGACTCACTGTGAGCCTCCAGCTGCCAACCTCCTGGCAGCTGGGGAACAGGAACTCAGTCCTGAAGGAGGAATGTGGGCATGGACCACAGCACCCACCACAATTAGGGCGTTGGTAGTTTTCATATTGGTTTGCAAAGCTCTGTGCATGTTGATAATATTCATCTTCTTATTTTTCCCAATTCAGCTTTATTTGAAATTTTTATTATAATAGTTTCCATTCTGAAGAGTTTTTTCATAAATCTGAGTCAATTCTATCACATTTTGCCTTAAGGTTTCAGACTCTAAAATCTTGGTTTGAGAAGCCTACCCCAGCCTAAGATCACAAAATTATTCTCCTGCAATTCCTTCTACTGTTTTTATGGCTTTTTTATTTTACATATAATTAATCTGATAAAGATTTATACTTATTACTGTTGTAATTTTTGTTGCCAGTGTTTTACCAAATAAATAACAAGCTGGGCTAATGTATCATACTGAGTAATAAACCCCAGCTATGCTGCCTTAAACACCATTTTTATTAATTTTAGGCATCTTCCTGCATATATGCATCTGTTTCTGGATGCACGTTTCCGTTCTGCCTCTCCCCATTGATCAGTCTCCCCTGGGGTTAGCTCAAGGCTATTCTGATCATCGAAACATGGTGATGCTCTTTAATAGCTACAGCAATTACCAGACAATTGCTGTCTTTTCCAGAATTTTCTTGGCTTTCCTTGCATGTTTCACTTCCAGATAAACTTTAGAACCCCTTGGCTAAGTTCTGAAAAGAAATTAAGTTAGGCTATTGACTAGAGTTATACTAAGTTTGCACATCAGTGGAAAGAGCTGACATCTTTATAACACTGAATGCATTCATCCTGGAGACTGTGCTATAGTTTTATGTTTTAAATGTTATTTTTATTATGTTTTAAATCAGGTTTAGGCCATCTCTGTTAAAGAGATTAGGAAACTTTATTCCTTTCTGCAACAGTTTCTGGAAGAGTTTCAATAAAATAAATATGTTCCTTAAGTTTCAGCCACATACTCTTAAATTTTGGTTATTTTTCTCTAAATACTCTGTAATTGCAGTGCTGATTTTCTCTGTGATATCAGGAGTGGGTTTTTTTTTTTTTTTTTTTTTAAGTATTCTGGGGTTTTCAAGGTGTGCCTGCTTACCCTTTTGCCATTTGTTTCCGGTTTTGTTCCATTTGAGAAACTCTTGAACATTGCACGGGACCCACTTCTGTGGTTCTGTAGCTTTGTGCATTGCCGCAGCTAGCCGTGTG